CAAAAATGGACAATACTCATGTGTTACCCATGAAAATCATGAATTGAAGTACGCATGCTTAATTGCCATCGAGTCAAAACGAATGAAAATAGACTAAAGTTATGTGTTATAGCGCATGAAAATTATTAATTTTCAAGCATGCATAATTAATTGTCATTGGATCAAAATAGACAAAGATGTTCAAAAAATCATGGATTAGTCTATGAAAACCATGAATTTTGAGGTGCGCATATTTAATTGTCATCGTGTTGAAACGAATAAAAATAAACAAAATTTGTGGGTTGCATCTCATAAAATTGTGAATGTGGTAATATGCATATTTAAATTTCCACGTGGTGAAAACTCCTATCAACTTAAGTTGATGTCCACCAAACTTCCTAGCCACTCATTTATTAATATAAAAAATATTTTCTTATCATGCAAGGATCCTTAGGCAATATGAGTGGCTAAAAAGTTTGATGTACAACTTTTTACTATCCACTTAAGTTGACACAAGTTTTGCGCGTTCTCTCTCTCTCTATATATATATAGTAATAGACCAATATTTCATTAAGATTCTTGAAATTTTGAATTATGCAACTTAATTGTCATTCAGTCAAACAAACAAAAACTGGCAAAAATTATATGTTATTGCCCATAATAATAAAGAATTTCGAAGTGTGCGTAATTAATTATCAATAGGTTGAAGTGAACGAAAATGGACAAAGAAAGTAGGTTATATCCTCTAAACCGTGAATTTAAAAATACACACGTAACTTGCCTTTGAGTCGAAACCTACAAAAATCGTAGGTTATAATCGATGAATATTAATACTTTTGAAGTTCACATACTTAGTTAACGTTGAGTCGAGAGATGAGATTAGCTGATGAAAATCATGACTTTTGACATATTTGTACTTAATTGCCATTGGGCTGAAACAGACAAACAAATAAAAATAGTGAGTTCTTGTTTATGAAATCATGAATTTTGAACTAGATGTACTTAGTTACCATATGACCGAAACTAAAAAAATAGAAAAAAAATCATGGGTCATAGTCAATGAGAATCGTGAAATTTTAAAGTGTGTATTTTTTGTTACTATATGGTTAAAAGAACAAAAATGAACAAAAATTATGTGTTATAGCCTATAAAAATCACGAATTTGTTAGTACACATTATTCATTATAATTTGGTCGAAACGAACGAAAATGAACAAAAATAGTGGGTTATAACCCATAAATTTGTTATACTTAATTGTCTTTGGTTCGATACGAATGAAAATGAACAAATATCATTAGTTATTGTTGATGAGAATCGCGACATTAGGTATTTCCATACCTAGAAGACATTGAGATGAAAAAAAGACAATAATCATGAGTTATAGCTCATGAAAATCATAAAATTTTAAAGTTTGCATGCTTAATTGTCATTGAGTCGAAACGAATGAAAATGGATAAAAATTATGGGCTAGCCCATGAAAATTAATATTATTAATTTTCAAGTACATAATTAGTTGCTACTGAATCACAACGAATGAAAACGCAAAAAGATCGTGTTATAATATATGAAAATCGTTAATTTGAAGCACACATACTTAATTGTCTGAGTCAAAATGGAAAAATAAATAAAAATTGTAAGTTGTGGCTTATAAAAATTACATATTTTGAAGTTCCTAAACTTAACTGACATTAGAATGAAACAAAAAAAGGGACAATAACCCATAATTTTATAGCTCATATCGACCATTGATAATTATTTATCAATCACTAATTATACAGTGGGTTGGACAAAATAAAAATGAAAAAAATTATGAATTAGCCTATAAAATCAAGAACTTTAAAGTACAACAATGGACGGAAATCATGTGTTATAGTCCATAAAACTTGTGAAATCTTGAAGTACGCATACTTAACTGCTATTTGGTCAAAAGAATAAAAATGAACAAAAATCATGGGTTATAGTTTGTAAAAATCATGAAGTTCAATGTATCCGTAATTAACTGTCTTAAGGTCGAAAAGAACGAAAATGGGCAAAAATCTTGAGTTACAACTCTTAAGGTTGTAATTTTGAAGTACACATTTTTAATTACCATTAGATCAAAATGAACGAAAAATAAAGAAAAATCATGAGTTATAGCCTATGAAAATCTTGTATTTTGAAGTTTCTATACTTAGTTGATTAGTTGATATTAGGTTGAAATAGATAAAAATGGATAATAATCGTGTTATAGTTCATGAAAATCATGAATTTTGAAGTACTGCATTCTTAATTGACGTGTGGTCTTTGTTACTTGGGTACTTCTATTAGGAAGACTTACCCGTACCTGTGCCCATGCCCAAACCTCTTGGAAACTTCATGAATATATGCATATATTTATTCGGGCTTATACTCAATTATATAATACATGTTTTAATTTAAAATACTCATCGTACACTTCTTGGAGGTATATTCTACACTTCACATCTATTTCTTATATATCGATCTTACGAAAATGAAAAAAATATTGATCTTATATAAAGTATTAAATTTAACACATAAATATACATTACATGTATATATATAGTTGTGTCCCTATACCCTGCTTTTTGCAAATTAGCCGTGTCCCGTTCCAGTACCCATACCCACCTGTACCAGTATCCATACTCATGCAACTAAGTGTATGGTTCAAACAAACAAAAAACGGACAAAAATAATGAGTTATACGCCCATGAAAATCGCTGATTTTCAAGTATATATGATTAATTGTTATTGGATTGAAACAAACTAAAATGGATAAAAATCACGGGTTAGCCTATGAAATCGTGAATTTTGAGGTATACGCATTCAATTGACATTGGGTCGAAATGAATGAAATGAAAAGAAATCGTGGTTTGCAGCTCATGATATCATGAATATAGAAATGCACCTATTTAATTTTCATTGTGTCGAAATGAAAAAGGATCAAAGCAAACATAAATAAACATCATGGGTTAACACTTGAAAATTAAGAATTTGAAGTACACATACATATTTATCATTCGGTTGAAATGAATGGAAAAAATCATGGGTTGTAACTCATGAAATCGTGAAATTTGAAATATGTGTACTCAATTTTCATTGGTGGAAATGAATTTGAAATATGTGTACTCAATTTTGAAATACTCGTGAAATGAACGAAAATGGACAAAATAATGGGTAATAGTCCATGAAAATCGTGAAATTATAAATTACACATACCTAATTATCATTTGGTCAAAAGAACAAAAATGGACGAAAACCAAAAGTTATAGCTCATAAAAATCACTAATTTTTTTATAATTAATAGTCACTTTGTTGAAAAGAGAAAATGGATACAAATTGTATGCCGTACACCCCATGAAAATTGTAAATTTTGAAGTACATGTACTAAGTTGTCATTGAGCCGCAACGAATGAAAATGAACAAAAATTGTGAGTTGATAAGTGCAAATTTATGATTTTGAAATTGTGAAATTTGTGAAATTTTAAATTACGTGTATTTAATTATCGTTTGGTCAAAAGAACAAATGTGGAGAAAAAAAATCATGCGTTACCAGCCCATAAAAATCACTAATTTTATAAGTAGAAAAGGAAGACAATGAACAAAAATGTATGCTATACCCTATGAAAATCCTAAATTTTGAAGTACAGTTACTTAATTGTCAATGCGTTGAAATGAATAGAAATGAACAAACATAGTTAGTTATAGCCCATGGAAATTGTAAACTTTGAACTGCCCATAATTAGTTGTCATTTAAGTCAAGACTAAAAAAATGCTCAAAATAATTACGAAGTTTGAAGTACTCAAACTTAATTGCCATTGCTAGAAAAAAATTGTGGGTTATCGCCAACAAAAATCGCGATTTTGAAGAAGAAACTTACTACTGGGTCAAAGCAAACAAAAGTGGATAAAAATTGTGGGATGTAGCCTATGAAAGTCGGTAGTACTAATCTCGTAGGCAGGCAACTAATGGGATTGAGCTTTATATACAACTTGTTGGAATTTACAGAAATTTCGTCCCAAAATCTTTTAGGTGGCTTTCCCTGAACTTTTGTTTCAAACGTGTTTAATATCATAAAGTCAATTTATATTTAAATGTGAGTTAATGTTGCACAAGTTAAAATTTAGCAATAAGCAGCAAACTACTGAGGTTCTATTTGTCATCCTGTCTGATTAGGAACAATTTACTGTTCTTTGCATTAACAGTGTTATAAATGCACTGTGTTTTACCTGATTCTAAATGGGTTTTTTAGTCCATGCTAGATAAGATGCCATGGTAAACAATGGTGTCAGTGTGTCACACATCAGAATATCTGCACTGCACATTACTATCCAACAAATAGAAGGGAAAGATTACCAACCAGAATATCTGTCACACAGCAGAATATCTGCACATTACCATCTAGCAAATAGAAGGAAAAGATTATTGGATGTGAGGGAATAATTCAATAGTTTACAGATTGTATGATTCCCTTGCCAACTTCAGAAACATTTTTGGTCATACTTCATAGATCAAACAGGTTATAGACGATTTATAAGGGGCCAACGAGTAATCTATTTCTTGTGTTATTAGACAATGACAATCCAAAGTACTTCCTCTTTGAATGGATGTACCCTGTTGTGTGAGCGTTATTATGTATATGCAGCAGTAATATTATCAGGACACACAGAATGTAATATCTTCATGTGTTCATGCTTAGGCTTTTGATTATGCTCCCCATGCCACATTAGGTCTTCAAATTATCAACTACCCCTATTTTGTTGTGTTGGTGCTATGATTTAGAGGAAACATATGCATTAGTTGCTTCATCAGCCAATTGGAAACGGTGCAAACAGGCAAAAATCACTACCTAAAAACTATTGAAAGAAGTGTCTGTGTGAGAGGTAGTCAGTTTTGGTTACGTGCTATCGCTCCTGACCAAAGGAGAAGAGGTCATTTTTTATAGTACTCATATTTTAACCTGCTTGTTCACCTTTATTGGGTACCTTTTGAATTAACTTGAGCTTTTGGTGACATGCTACAGGTTCCCAACACAACTGAATTTGCGGATTGGATTGGACGGACCAAGCAAAAGAAAATTCGTGTGATATCGTGAGCACCCACTGATGTTCTCTGCTTGAATTCATTGACATGCATAGCTAATGTTATTGTTATATTGACCACACACAAGCATTGTTGCTATTATCATTAAAGTAATCCTTCATGTTGACGACACTATAACTGAACGCGTCCCCCCCCCCACCCCCCACCCCATACGCCGCACACACAGAAAGCCCTTTGGCCTGTAATCCCTTTTTCCCCTGCTTCAGTGTTCTCGAATAAGCTCTTTGCTTTGACACAGATATTATCTAGATGCTTTCTTTCACTGCAATGACTTCAATTTTATCATTTTCCTTTTTTGCTTTCCTATCAGGACCACGAGGAGGCCAGTTCCTCTTGAGCACTGCTTATTCTATTCTGGGGAACTGTATAAAATATGTGAGAATGAGGCATTTCTGCCCCAGGGGCTAAAAGCAGCAAAGGATGCTTGTAAGCGAAAAAATTCAAATATCGCCAGTGGAAGTTCCGGGAAAATTTTGGGAGCGACATCACCCCATGGTGCAGGCCAAAACAGGCAGCGTGAAACTTCTAACCGATGGAAAGGTCAAAAACACTCTGGGCCTCAAAATGTAGCCAAGGTTTCTGGACAAAGTGGAGGACAACAAAGTAACTGGGGTTCAAGCAGATCAGAGGCTTCTTTGTGGTTGTTGCTAGTAAACAAGCTTTCGAAGAAGTCATTATTGCCTGTATGTACAGTGCATGCCCTTCTATCTTTCTTAAAGACTCCATTTGATTTTTTTAACTAGAATTATTCCTAGGTAGAGGCTAATGATTAATTATGAACCTATTTGATTAGTGTTCATTGGCATGTATATCAGGTTATTATCTCTTTATATTCTGTGTCTGAAGCCCTCCAAGTTTCTTGACATGGAATATTACATATTAATCCGTGCATAACCCTGATTTCAGGTGGTTATCTTCTGCTTCTCTAAGAACCGTTGTGACAAATCAGTAGATAATATGACAAGTATTGATCTTACAAGCAGTTCCGAGAAAAGTGAAATACGCCTCTTTTGTGACAAGGCATTTTCACGGCTAAAGGGATCTGATAGGAACCTGCCACAGGTATGCCTGTTTATAGTTGTGTATTGGCTGCATCATACTTAATTAGCTTGACATCTGTTAGTTATTTGAGTGGATTGGTTTTGCAGGTTGTCAGAGTTCAGAACCTACTGCGAAGAGGGATTGGCGTGCACCATGCTGGTCTTCTTCCAATCGTGAAGGAAGTTGTTGAGATGCTCTTTTGTCGTGGTGTGATTAAGGTAAGTGTGACTGTAGCTGGTCCTTCCCTAGAATATTTGGCATGAGGCTTCCAGATGCATATACAAATATATTAGATACACATGTAAAACTGATTTTGTATATAACTATATCCCACATTTGGTTAATTCATTCATTTTATTTGATTGTATGCGGATGATACATTCATATTTTATAAATTCTAGCGTATTTTAAATGTTAAAGTATTTTGATGAAATTGGCACAGCTATCTGCCATATTTCAGCTACTCGAGTTGAACAATATGTTAAATGAATGAATGATTGAACTACTTAACAGTATCAAAACGTCATAGCTGACATGTTAATTCGTTAAATGTTGAATTTCACACTTATCTACAGATGCCAGTTTATTTGTTATTTTAGTAGCAGAGTCAGTTCACTCATTATATTGACTACCGCACACTTTTTAATTTTAATGGGTGGCTAAGTTTGCAGAATTGAGGTAAGACTGTGAGATGTTAGGTCTGGGACTTCCTATTATATATATATGAGGAAAGGTGTTCTAATGGCTGGCTGGGAGGGGGGTGAATAAGGGATGAATATGAATGTGGTGGAATTGTTGGGAAACAAGCAATTACAAACAGTCAAATCTAGGGGTGGAAGTTGGTCGATGTTATCAAGTAGTTTAACTTTGTCCATCTAGTTATTCATTCAATTTTTTTGAAGATCATTTAATAGAAATCAAATAAGTTTTGGTACGGATATCGAGTGATGCAAATATGAGCATTTACGTCTTCAATTTGTTTGTTTATCAAATATTCATTTAAAATTTGGTCCCTTGTAACTTTATTGTTACACATACGATGTTATGTTTTTGCCCTCCTTTTCTGGTTTAGGTTCTATACTAATTTTCAGAGACTTCAGGGTACCAAATCCATTTCTAATCGAATATCCAAATTACACATTATTTATTTTAACTATAAAGGAATAATTTACAATTATGAATTCACCTGTTATTTAGAAATTCAGTTTCTTTAGAAAAATGAAAATATATCATTAACCAAGTAAAAATATCTCTAGTTAAATAGTCTAATATTCATAAACTATAGAATATCCATCAATTACTTATATTTATACCCGATGAGTATTCAAAGAATATTCATGTTCGATTCTATGAAATTTAGGGAAGGATATCTGAATTTTGATTCGAAGTCCCAAGATTTTAAACGAATACAAATATAAATGTCAATTCGATTCCTTTCCACTTCCAGCCATACTCAGCTCTGTATAGTGTATAGTAGGTAGGTGAAATGGAGTATGTCATACCCTTTTACTTGGCTCCTAGGAGAGACGATTGTTTAACCAGAGAGGCTCACTGAGGTCATATTTAAAGATTTAGCGTAGCTGTCCGTATCCTGCACCTGATATTTACATGTATCATGAAAAAGAGAATTTGTCACCTGGTTGTGTTTTTTTTTTTTTGCAAACAGTCACAAATTTGACCGATACTTTTGTTAATCTAGCATTTTTTTTCAAATGTATATCATTCACTTCCTGATTACATGATGGCAATCTAACTGAATCATTAACCTGAAGGATCTCTTGTGGTACTATTTTAAAATATCCTGTAATATATTTCTTTTCAAATAGAAGTCATATGAGATAATCTTTATCCAGAAAGGGAACTTTCAGCTCTTTGATGCTATTTCTTGTATCTTACTTAATGGATCTTATTAGGCTACTCCACAAGTTCTGGCATAAACGATATAAGTTCTCTTTCAGATATCATTTGAAATCTATACAACTTGTCTCCTGTTGTTTCTGTCTATCTGGAGCATATTGTCTCTATGTTTATAATTGCAATGATTACAGTAAATATGCATGCTGATTTGTTAAGGACTGAGTAATGTTTTACTTGGCCATGTAGGTTTTATTTTCAACAGAGACATTTGCCATGGGGGTTAATGCTCCTGCCAGAACAGTAAGTTCCCCCATCACATATTTCCTGTTCTTTTTTTCTTGTGTCTCGAATTTAGGAGCCTGATAAGTATCATGCTTGTGCATCATATATATGTTTCTTTTTTTTTCTTTTCTTTTTGCTGAAGCAATTGTGTCATGTGTATATTGTATGCAATTAGGTGAACCTAATGCAACTACTGAAGCATTGATACCTCATTTAGTGTCTATAATGATATTATAATCTCTATCCATATTGCTCTAGGCTTCTAGGATCCCCACAGTAGCTGCGTGCAAATGTCGAATTGGATTTGGATAGAATTGTTTTTATTTGTTTGCATTCCTAGTTGGCACTAATACTTGCCTCCGTCTATTTTTTCTTTTCTTTTTATTATTTATTATTGAGCTGTATGAAATTTTCATTTTGTGTCCTAATTAAAAAGCTATTTTTCTTCAGGTTGTCTTTGATACATTAAGGAAGTTTGATGGCAAAGATTTCAGGAAACTACTCCCTGGGGAATATATCCAAATGGCTGGACGTGCTGGAAGGAGAGGACTTGATAAGATTGGTACAGTAATTGTTATGTGTCGTGATGAGATCCCAGAGGAGAGTGACTTGAAACATGTTATAGTTGGAAAACCGACTCGACTTGAATCACAGTTTCGATTGACCTACACCATGATTCTACATCTCCTTCGTGTTGAAGAATTGAAGGTAACCCTATATTTGCCTTCTCCTTGATGTTGTTGAATCACTGTAGATGTTTTGTGCAATCTCTTACAAAAGAGATATATAATGAAGCCACATAATTCACTGGATCAAGGGGACCGCTTATCTTAGGAGCATATAATTGCCTATTTCATATTGTTATCATGTGTTGTAAACATTCAGATTGATTTATTCTTATTAATTGGTTTAAGTCAGTCTTACAAGGGATATGTTAATTTCTTAAAATAAAGAACACTACAACGATTTGACGCTCCTATATAATACTAATAGTGGTGGTGTAATAGAGAGAGAGAGTTCAGATGGATATGCCTTCACAGACATGTTTCTGCACTTAATGTTTACGCACACTGTTTACAATAGTATAATAGCTTTTTAAAAATATATGCACGAGTTTGGTTTGACGTGTCTTGTGGTGGTGTTAGGTTCACAATAGAAGTGTAAGTACACTTTCTTATTAGAGATGACATTTTGAGCAATGGTGTTGCGATTATGTACCCAATGATAGTAAAATACTGAAGCGGGTTGCTGGACTATGATGAACATTATTGCATTAATTTTGTGTTAACTCCCATTTAAGTTCCATCAAATCAGGTTGAATAATTTTGCAGGAACACTCACATTATGGGGGTAGGGTGTGCTTTTATATGTTGAACTGACATTATCTTTCATCTGCAAATTTGTTTCTTCTCCATCTCAAGTTTACTTTTTCATCCCTGTGCTTGCTTCCTGTGCTTGCTTCCTGTTGCTCTATTTAATTTTCTTACTACACACTCAAGTTCACACTTCAAAGGGATCATTTATCATTATACTTGGTGGGATCTTTTGTTGCAGGTGGAGGACATGCTGAAAAGAAGTTTTGCGGAATTCCATGCTCAAAAGAACTTGCCTGAGAAAGAGAAGCTTCTTTTGATAAAGCTATCACAAACTACCAAAACCATAGAGTGAGTCTATTTTCCTGTGCCATATTTCAGATTTATGTACATATGTTTACAGTTTTGGTGTTCAAACTCAATACATTTTGCTGTAAAATCAAACAGCACTTGCTGGACTAAGCCTTGAGATATTATTGCAATATTTCCTTGGTGTTAATTAATCTCTTTAGCTTCTGTAATTTCCATAATTGAACTGCCTTGAAGGTTCTTTTATTATGAAGCTCCCCTATGTTGTCATATCCTTCTATTTGGAACTGCTTCTGAATGTGATCTGGTTATTGCTTTGAGATTTATATAAGTGCGAAGTTTGCTCGACATACATTATTAACCACATTTAACTTAATGTTTGGGTCAAGCAGTTCCATGAATGGTATCAGAACACCAGGTTTCCAGAGGTTTTGGGTTCAAATCTCATTTTCTGACAATTTAAAACATGTTTCTTCATGTAATCATATATAGTTTGAGACCAATTATTGTAGTTCAAAGTTCCTCATGTAGGGGGAGTCTTAATTATCAAACTTCCTTTGTATGCATTTGTTAGATCACAGGCTCACAGTTGGCAGTTCATCAGTTTAACTTTTGGATGAAGTGGTTAAATGGCAGTAAACATATAATGTCACAAACCATAATATATAAATTGCAAGCAAGAGCACTGGGAATGTGCTGAAAGAACTAGTTTTCTGGTTTCCTTGTTGGTATGGGTATTGGATATGTTGAGATTTGTTTTGAGGGGAAAAAATTCCATTCTAAATGGTTATCTTGCACTATCATATCAACTATACAAACAATCCTATATAAAGTTGAAAGATCAAGGGCACTATGAATATGGTAACAAAATTTATTTTCTAGTTCCACTAAGATGCTTGATACGGTTTACAAACAACCCAGGTTTACAGTCAACAATTTCAAAGCTATTGAACATAGGTATAAATGTATAGTAGACAACCTACCGTTATTTGGGATCCATTAATCTCCTTACACATGTCAAACATGTATCCTTGTCCAAAATGGGTTGGTTATGGATATAGGACCCAATTCAGCATACACCTGTGCAGCTGTGCTCCATAATTTTCGACAACAAAATGTTTCTGATATGTCTACATATGTGCATGTTTCTTCCTGATTACATGCCAATGCATATGGATAACAAATGACTTTTGCTAGGCTCTTATAGCATAGGAAAGCATGGGTTTGCACTAGCTTTCCTTAGTTGACATTGTCATTTTATTAACTTTCCTTTTATTTTCATTCACTTAGCCCCACCTTTAATTTTTCAGTTGTATAAAAGGAGAACCGGCTATTGAGCAGTACGTTGAGATGGCTTCAAACGCAGAGATATACAGAGATGCTATATCAAAGGCAGTCATGCAATCACGTCTAGCTCAACCGTTTCTCTCTCCTGGTAGAGTGGTGGTTGTCAGATATCAGTTAGTAAGCATTCATTTCTTGATATTCTAATTTTTCTATTAGCACCATATTTACAAATAACCCTCTTTCACAATTTGTTTGTCCATTGTTGATTACCTTAAATCTACCATTGCTTTAATAGCCCATTTTTCAGTAACTAAGTGAAGAAAACTCTTTGTAATCCCTTGACAAATTGACCATCCAAACTTTGTATATATGACTCTGTATGGGCTTTTGTCCAATGAAGCTACTTTAAAAGACTAAATGAATCGTAATATCCATTCTACCTCAAGTTTGCAACTTGGTTGAAGTTTATTTATAGTTTACTCTTGATAGTTTTGCACTTTAATCCCTATAATTAATTAGATAAATAAGAACTAACAAAATAAGGCTCTACACATCTGAGACTCCCCCATCTTCGGTTTCTACACGCTGCAGATGAGGATCCTCGTCATTCTATTTGTGTATGTAGAGTGTACTAACTTCTGTTTCCCATCCAGCAGCTGATAACCAGGGCATTTCCTCTCCGTGAATTTTCTATGTAGAGTTCAGTAACATCAGTTTGCATGCAATGACTGTAGACAGGGGAGGCCATCAAGTGATGGTTGGTTGGAAGACACTATTGGATTCTCCAGTATCAAACTTTTCAACAGTACCCCTCCCCTAACTCCATTGCATGATCCTAACCCATCACTGGAAGTGAATCCTTATCCATCACTGAAGGGAATGCTAACCCATTACTGAACAGAATCCTAACCCACTACTTATCTTAAACTTTGATCTCGAGCTTCCTTTAGCCATAGTTCTAGTTACAATGCATGCTGAGTTCAATTTTCACCCATTATGGGCCTTATATGAGGGAAGATAACAAAGTATAGCTATTTTGAAGTAAACCTAAGAAAAGAATATATTCAAAACAGAACTGCACACACATACAGGAGATCAATTATGGATATCCATTATAACACTAAAAAGAATTTTAATGTGCAGAGATTTAGATATCCCAGTTTAGATTTCATGTTAATCAGATAAGTTATTGAATCTAGTTCACTAAATCTCATCTGAACCTGTACCTGTTTTTGTAAACCACACTTCTTAGTTCTTATCACTCAGATTTCTTATCACTCAGATATTGAGGTAACGCTCATACTTGAATCCACTCAGCCAGCGAACATACCTTACTAAAGAGAAAATAAATGGTCTGGATCAAACTTTACCCTCTCTCTATAAAGCCAACATCGTAACATTGCATATTCACGTAACTCCCTTTTTCACTGCTGTTGCCTTTCTTGTCTGTTGGAGATGCAACAGCGCTGTGCTAGCAGCAAGGGCGGTAAGGCAGCACAAGGAGTGCTGATCGCATTTCTCCCTCCCTATCTCCCTCTATGCACATGAGTGTGAGAGTAGTTTGTAATCAGCCTCCTCATATATATATATATATATATATATATTATATATATATATATATATATAATATATATATATGCAGATTAATGGGTATCCTTGTCATCATAGAGGGGATTTCTCCTTGACGCCTATGTGGCACAATCGCCCGCCATCCTCATAAAGTAGGAGAGAGAGTGTGAGTTGGTGGGGATTTGTGTCTACTTTATGAGGATGGTGGGGCATTGTGCCACATAGGCGACAAGGAGGAAAATCGCCTCCTATGACAAGGATACCCATTAATCTCTCTCTCTCTCTCTCTCTATCTATATATATATATATATATATATATATATATATATATATATATATATATATATATATATATATACTGAAACACAGACAGACACATGTATAACTGTGGAAATTTCGCTACAAGGACTAACTAGCAAAATAAGCTTACCGAGAACTCCATATAGACATCTTCCAGACGATCTACACCATACATGTTGATTTACACGTGTACATGCTGACGCATTCTGTTAGGTTCCTTTGCCTTAATTTAAGTCTACAGGCCAAGCTTCAAGATAAAAATAAACCTAGATCTCCTCATTCCTCACATGATTCCTAAAGTCTGTTCAGATCCTAGGCTTCTTGCTCTTTTTGTTGTCTTGTTTTGTGCTTTGCTGTGAAATATTATTAGTAAGGATTATAGTTAAAGAGAAAAATGCTAATCAATTATTACTTTGGAAGAAATTGGTCATGAATTATTTCCCTTTTACTTGTAGTGATTGTGAAAGTACATGAACGCTTATGCCATTTTTGCAAATTAAGGTTCCTAGTGTTTAGATGTTACTCCAAAAGCACCTCCTTTTTTGTGATCTTGAGAAGTAAATTCAATGGGTCTCTTTGTTTGTAGTATGGAAGGCATGATAGCCAATCATTAGCAACTCCTGATGTAGAATGCTTAATTTTCCTAGTGTCTAAATAACTTTGTTTTATTTACTGCTAGGAGGAAGATCACTTACTTGGTGTCATCTTGAAAACACCTTCTGCTATGAACAAACAATATATTGTTTTAGTATTGACAACTGATGTGGCCTCTATGCAAACTCACAAAGGTCCCTTGAATACACCTCAAGAGAAAGGAAGTGGCAATCCCCCTGAAGGATATTTTATTGCTCCAAAAGGAAAGCGTGGAATGGATGAAGAGTATTTTTCATCTGTCAGTTCTCGTAAAGGATCTGGCATCATAAATATCAAGTTGCCTTACCGTGGTAATGCTGCTGGTGTAAACTATGAAGTTATAGCAGTAGATGATAGAGATATTATGAGTATATGCAATTGCAAAATAAAGATTGATCAAGTCCGGCTTCTTGAAGATCCCAGCAATGTTGCTTACTCAAAAACTGTCCAACAGCTTTTAGATCAGAAACGTAATGGAAGTAAATACCCTCCAGTGCTGGATGCTGTTAAAGGTATTGTCCATCATAGGTTCTTATGCTCACGAATAATCTTTTTCTTCGGATTTGTTCCTCGATCATATGATGATGTATGTACTAATGATTAGTGTATGTTCCAACTTCCACCTCAGAACATTGTTTTCATTGAATATGTAAGAAGCATGACACAATATTAGGTTCAATTGTTGTTTGCTTGATCTTCTGTATGTGAAATTTCTTGTTCAATCAGGTATTTGCTTCTATTACAGACGCCTGGATATGAGTAGATTAGAACATTAAAAAAAAAAAATCAAAATCAGCTTATAAAGTCAGGAATGAGTGCTAATTTGAATGATCTGATCATGGAACTTTGAATTATCTAGTTTATTTTATAGCTCAGAACCATATCTATATAAAATTAATTGTTTTTATACACATCATTTTTCTCACCTCACTTCATTTGATTAATGCTTGCTGCATTGCATGAAATACATTAGAAGCCCTGTTAATTCATGCTATATTTTGACAATCATTCAGCAGCATATCGATAAGTTTTAAAAAAGCAGATGGATTTATATCTGATCTGATTAATCTGACTTGTTAGTGTATATATACTGAAAGAATGTTCCAAGAAAGGTAAGATCGTTTCCACCGAAGACTGACCCATTACATGTGAAGTCAGGTCATTTGTTCAACTCATTTCCTTGCATGTTAGTTTGTCGAGAGAAATACAAGTTTCTTGACAATATTGATATATAGGCAGTCATCTGTGGCATAATCAGGCTCATAAGCATCAGTTGTTTGCTGCAGATTAGCAGTATCATATACGGTTGCGTAGATCTTCTTCAACTATGTATAACTAGTCTTATACCTGTGCAAGCACGGGGGAGTGTTGCTTTTGACTTGTTTGTTTAGTCGTTTGCTGTCGCACATCTTTATATCATCTCTTGTTTGGAACTATTTTTTTATCTATCAATTTTCATGAAGTATCTAATAAAATATTTAATTTACAGATTTTACTTACTTAAATTATCATATTAGACATAACTGCTAAATTTTTTATATGAATCTGCAGAATTTATCTTATATAAAGCTTGGATTAGAAAATCTGATACATTACTGAGACCAAAGTTAGGTAATATCATATAGTCATATGGTGCATATTATATCATATATTCACATAGTGCACTTTTTATATCACTTTTATCAGTACAGAACAATATTTACTAATTTGAAACATTCATGGTATAAAAATAACTATATATTGTAATAAGGAAACACACATAAAGTATAGCTTCATATATTACCTGTGATTGAGGTTAGGCACTTTCCTGTAGCGTCCTGAAGTACTATATTTGATATACTGACCAACTGTCCTTTTGTTTGTGGGCTCTCTGTCCTTTTGTGTGGAGGAATGAAGTCTGCTACGTGCAGAAATGAAATATAGGCCAAAATATTTCTATGTTTCAGTTTTAAAGTTTTACCGAAGTAGGTTAATAAAACATGGCCTCAGAAACTCTTTACCTTCATTGCGGTTGGAGACGTTCAAATCAAAAGTCAACATCTTGACGCCTTTAATTGCAACACTACTTGAACTTGAAGTAGCCTTTTGCACTGGAGAATCAAATGACTTAACTAATGATTGTGATGAAACTGGAGCTGGATTAGATTCATACCGTACATTAGTACAGTGGCAATTTTTTTGATGAAACTGGAGCTGGATTAGATTCATACCGTACATTAGTACAGTGGCAGATTTTTTGATGAAACTGGAGCTGGATTAGATTAATATGTAGGCAGCCATCTGTGGCATAATCCGGCTCATAAGCACCCAGGGGTTGTTTGCTGCAGATTAGCATTATCATATATGTTTGCATAAATCTTCGTCAACTATGTAGTACTCAGCATTTAGTTTGTTGGAGACATAACTGGATACTTTTATGTTATTTCTGTACCTCATCCCTTATTGCTTTAACTGTTGACGGTTTTTAACATCGACCCCATGGTGACATTTCAGATCTCAAGTTGAATGACATGGCTGTTGTGGAGGAATACCGCAGCTATAATAAACTATTGCAAATGATGTCAGAGAACAAGTGCCATGGGTGTATTAAATTGAAGGAACATACTATCTGGGCCAAGGAGCAAAAGAGGCACAAGGAGGAGCTCAATGCTTTGAAATATCAGTTGTCTGATGAAGCACTTCAGCAGATGCCAGATTTTCAGGGTCGAGTATGTTCATGCTAATTAGTATTCTCTTTTCATTAATATTGGGCACATAATATGATTCTGGAATTTGACTCATTTTGTGTCTTTAAAAGGATGTGACCCTTACATCAAATAAAACCATCATAACCCTTCGTCGAGACTATTTTCTGGTCTATAGGAAATTAGAATCTTGCTCCCTCGTTGCATGCATAAATTGCATTACCAAAAAAGATATGTTCATCCATCCTCTATCTGGCAATCAACATTCTGTGGTGTGATTATTGGGTTTTTTTTGGCATCATTCAGGCTTGTCTGTAAAGATTCACATCAGGTTTGTCTGTAAAGATTCATTCAATTCTCTTATGGATCTTTGTCAACTTGAATCATGCTCCAGTGTTATTATCTTTTCTGGGAGAAGGCTTACAAATAATGAATATAACGTTCATGAATTGGGAGCAAAGGGAACTAGATAGATCTTCTGAAATCTATGACTATTGTTTACTGATGGTCATCATCAAAATTCAATCTGGTATATCGAACCTCATTTTGGCTTCTACTTCAATGATCAATAACCTTATCCGCAATTCATGAAAACCATAACAAATCCTTGCTGCTCCTTCGTCTCTTGAGCTGAAACTGTAGGGTAACTTCTCCTACCAGCTAAATAAGCCTGTAGGAGTGGTGGTAAGTGCTCTCGTTTGATTAATTTTCTTGCTAGGAGTTCCGACACCAATTTAAGAGTATTAATGTCAGATTGTTAGTGGTCTTAAAATTTTGTCAAATCTTTTATGGAGCTCAGGATGCGATCCTGTTTTGTGACAAAAGGCATAGATAATAATATAATAGTGCAAGTGCATGTGGATCACTGTTTTAGTAATTATTTCACCTGTTATGCAGATTGATGTGTTGAAGGAAATCCATTGCATTGATCCTGATCTCGTAGTTCAGATCAAGGGCCGTGTGGCATGTGAGATGAATTCTGGAGAAGAACTGATATCCACAGAATGTTTGTTTGAGAACCAGTTGGATGATCTGGAGCCTGAAGAAGCTGTAGCGCTTATGTCTGCACTTGTTTTCCAGCAGAAGAACACATCTGAACCATCTCTTACTCCAAAACTGGCTCATGCAAAGAAGAGGTATTTCTCCATCTTACATGGTGTGATGCCATTATATGAAAGTTGTTCTTCACTGATGTTTTAGTATATTGATAATCAGTTAAGGCATGTTGAGAAGTGTGCACATTATAAAAGCTTTACAAGTTTATTGAACCTTTTGTTTATTATGGAAGGAGCCTCACGGCATTTCTAATCAGGGGCTCATGGACATAGACTGCTGGGATTATTTACACGGGGTGTTGTGTCTGGTTATGTCCTATAATCCTAGTATGTCAAATATAGGTCTTAGTGTGAATCAATGCACCGGAATATTTTCATATCTCGCCAATCGCAAAAATTAGTTAACAAAGGGGGAAACTGTAATATCCACTTCTGGTCTCAGCATATTTTCCAATTTAATTATGCACACAGAATGCCAAGTGATGGATGAAATTTCATGTTTATTAATTTTCCTTGCTCGGGAAACTGACTAGACTCTGATTAATCAGATTTATCATAGTCATAAAACATGAAACCTTTTTCTTGTTTATTTTTTGTGTTGCCAGTATATATGTTGGATGTTTGTAAGCGTCATTGGCGTTGAAAGTTAAAGAAAGACTATGACCCTTGTCTCTGTTTGCATATTATTGACCGTGCATGTAGGAGCGCGTAAGTGATTGTCTCTTTGGCATCTATATCTCAATATTGTCTGGATGTTGAATGATGTCATTCTGTAATTATCCCCCGATTGACAAAGGCTCACAGTTAATGGATAACCTTAAGTAAATGTTTACACAACTTATGCTGGGCAACTGAGATTTGGTTGGTATCGAGACCCAACACCAGCTAATTCTGCCAAAGCCGTGGCCAGTACCCAAGTAGGTATTACTTGCTAACTCTTATTCTTGTTGAATTTAAGCAAGAGTTAGCATTTAACTTCTTCTACTCTTGGTCCCAAGCTCAGCTACAGAATGCTCTGGGATGTTAAGATACGGGGGTCCTAGGATAGAGTTGTCATTTATCAAAAACATGTATTCACAATAGCTACGGGGAGCGAACATGATGTTATAATTCCGTCCATAAGGTGAAATTGCTTCAACTATTGATGGAACATGAGCTTATAATTCCGTCCAAAAGGTGAAATTGCTTCAAATATTGATGGAACATGAGCGTCTATCTTTGTCCTCACCTAAAATTCATAGCTCATACACTTAAACATGTCTATTTAAACAACTCCTCTCTTCATTGGTTATTAATGCCTCATTAGATTCTTCTAGATGTAGTTTTGTGGATTCAGTATCAAAAACATGAGAAACTTTGCTTATTGTCTATCTTCATTAGGCTGTACGATACAGCAATAAGACTCGGGGAGCTCCAAGTACAATGCAATGTATCCATCGACCCTGAAGAGTATGCACAAGTCAACCTCAAATTTGGCCTGGTCGAAGTCGTTTATGAATGGGCAAAGGTTACTATAATTTGTCGTCAAATGGTTTTACCTTCTTGTACACATTATTGGCAGAATAAATATGCTAAATTCTATTGTTTAAATATGTGGATTACAGGGAACACCGTTTGCTGATATTTGCGAGCTTACTGATGTCCCAGAAGGCTTGATTGTTAGGACTATTGTCAGGTTGGATGAAACATGCCGTGAGTTCAGGAATGCTGCATAATGGGCAACTCAGCGCTGCAGAAAAAGATGGAGGCTGCGTCAACGCTATTAAACGTGATATTGTTTTTGCAGCTAGCTTGTATGTTCCGGAGTCTGAGTTTTCTATATATTTGCCAGTTTCCTTTCCCTACATTGCCTCATAATGATAGTTAGAAGAAGCATGAAATTTGCTAGTATGCTAGTACACAGACAACCTGTGCGCGCTCATATTGGACTATATCCTCAGCTTTAACTAAACTATGCGTATCTGAGCTCAACACACCAGTACTCTTTACTTCAAAAGGGGAGGGACGCGAGCTGTTTGCTTCTCTACACGTGCGATGGCGTGGGAGATTTAACATAAGAGAAAAAGCCATGCGCGTTTGCAACATTAAACATCAGGGCGTGGGGCGCAAGAAATTTTTATCTATCAAGTTGTTCTCTGTGCCATTAGCTCTTACGTATTTGTTTTCTAACAGACTCGGCTCAACCGCGTGTTTCTTGCGCGCATGGTACGGTTATCATCGATTTGGTTTCACTTTCTCGGATTTGTTCTCCGATTCTTGGATCATCTCTTTGCCCTTTGGGTGGGAGTTCTGTTGTTGCGTGTAGAATCTCTGAGCAAAATTAAGCCATGCAAACTACCTAGTATACATTCTGCCAATATCAAGAAGCAATAGACTCGAAAACAATCGTAAAAAGAAATATAAAAGGCTTATACAGCCCCAGTTTTAAAATAACAGGTGGTCACACCAAAGGATTTCTTATTAAAGTTGCACAGAAGGAACTCAGAAGAAGCTACAACAGACGATTATTCAACCTCATCGTACATCTCAGAGAAGCTACGACTCGCACACCAATCGCGCACACGATGCAAAGAGACCACAACATACGGCGCTGAGATGTGGCACGCACGCGTACCAAAAGAAGCTTCAGATATCACTCCTGCTCGGCTTGCTCGAAACCGGAATCACCTGCAGCGATCAGTTAGGGGCTGTTTGGATGCCTTTAGGAAATCAGAGTATTTATGACACAAAATAGAAAGTGTTTATCCACCTCACAACTTTTCATTCGAGTGTTTACATTGTTTTTGTTAGGAATCTTTGTGAATCCTAAAATAATAGTATTACATTGTTTGGATTGTTTGGATAGTATAATGTAAACTTACAGGGTCCGCGGATGGGATCCATTCGTTTGTGGCCGGATTCCCTCTGTGAGCAGGTTGGTAAACAGCTGCGCTGGAAACAGCTGGCTTCTTCAGACCGAAACCACCGTCTGCGGGTTTTTCCACTTTGATGAACCCAGTTCCGGTCTACAAAATATCATGTTTTTAACTTGAGTTTTTTGCTACGGACGCCCAAAATATAGGACCGATAAGAGTAACAAGTGAGGTGTCCCCTTCCTATTAGATAATGAGTTAACCATCATTAATGATGGCGAACTCATTATCCAATAGGATGGAGAGACCTCACTTGTCCCCCATATTGATCTCATATTTTAGGTACTTAAGGAATTTTCCTTTTTAACTTTTTTAACTCCCCCACCCCAAAAGAATAAATAAGCACATAATCATCATAGAATTCTAACCGGATTTTAGAAAAGCTAAATTAAAAATAAAAATAAATAATAATAATAATAATAAGGAGAAAGATGGGTTGTTTATACCGTGTGATGTTGCTTGTCGACGCAGTTGAGATCCTCGTAATACCCAGTCTCCACGTACTCCTCTACCACCTCGCCTCCCTCACAAACCAGCCTCTGCTCGAAGACAGCGTGTTATTAGCAACATAATAAGTAAATAAAATAAATAAATTAATTAACTGTGATTAATTTTGAGACCGATAGGGTTTCGCTGAGAGGGACCCACGGCACACACGCACACCTGAGGATTCGACGCGAGATCTCGCAGCTTCTGGAACTCAGGGATGGAGTCTCGATCGGAGACGGGGAGACGGTTGATATCGATACCGGCGGGGTCGGATATCGCTCCTTGAGGGTTTAGGGTGGCGCTTGGGAGCGAGGCCCTCGAAGTAGCGACGAGTCTCCTCCTCTATTTTCGCCGCCTCCTCAGGAGGAAGATTAGCGTCGCTGCGGTCAGGCTCATGATGAACGATCGACGGCGGCGACAGAGAGAGAGAGATTTGAGCCTGATCCCCGATGACGACGACGTTTTGCTAACCCGGGAACTTATTAAAGAAAAATGGAGCAGGTAAAGGGCAGCTGGTTTTAATGATTCGGTGGACGACCGTATGATATTATTATGACTCGGCTGTTAAAGTTTTTTATTATTAATTGTCTCGCCGTCCTTGTCCTGTAATAAAAGCTAGGGAAAATGGCTTCTAGCCCCCAACTTTCTCTCAAGTATTCTGTCCGTCCTCAATATTTTACTTTGATGATTTAAAATGGGTTTTGCGGGGGTGAAATCTAGTTCTCTTCAGAAAAATTCAACGGCGTCGACAACAGCGGCGAAACTTTCTCGGTGTTCGTCATCGGCGGCGAAGAAAACTACGATCTTAAAGACGGTGATGACGAGTTGCGTCGCTATCCCCTTTAAGTTTACATATTGTTATAATTTTTTTTGAAATTGATGACTTGAGATTAAAGTAGAGTATATTGTTATTATTTTACGGTAATAAGTTTGTTGTTAAGCTTATGAGTTGGTGGTGAAGGAAAGTTACGTGTTGGTTTTGAAGGTTACGAGTTGGTTGTGAAGTTTACGAGTTAGTTGCCAAGGACACGTGTTAGTTGTGAAGGTTACGAGTTGCTTGTGAAAAGGTTACGTGTTGGGTGTGAAGATTATGCGTTGATTGTCAAGGCTACGAGTTGGTTGTGAAGGTTATGAGTTGGCTGTGATGGTCACACGTTGATTGTCAATGTTACGAGTTAGTTGTGAATGTTACGCGTCGGTTGGCTGTGAAGGTTATGAGTTAGTTGTGACAGTTACGAGTTGGTTATGACGGTTATGAGTTGGTTGTAAAGGAAGATTGCGTCGGTTGTGAATGTTATGAGTTAGTTGTGACAGTTACGAGTTGGTTGTGACGGTTATGAGTTGGTTGTAAAGAAAGATTACGTGTTGGTTTTGAATGTTATGAGTTGGTTGTGAGGTTTACGAGTTAGTTGCCAATGATACGTGTTGGTTGTGAAGATTACGAATTGTTTGTGAAAAGGTTACGAGTTGGTTGTGAATGTTACGTGTTGGTTGTGAATGTTACGAGTTGGTATTATGGTCTTCATAAGTAACATCATGAAAAGAGAGAGAGAGAGAGAGAGAGAGAGAGAGAGAGAGAGAGAGAGAGAGAGAGAGAGAGAGTGTGTGTGTATTATGGTCTTCACATGTTTTAAACTCTTAGGTACCGTTTGGCAAAGGGTTAAGTGAGGGGTTAAGGAGACTTAACCCCTTCTTAACCTGCCAAACACAACAAATTTATATAAGGGTTAAAGTGAGTTAACCCTCCATAATTTGCCAAACATAAAAAATATAGAAGGGTTAAGTTAACCCCTCTAGAGAGGTTAAAATGAGTTAACCCCTCAAAATGAGGGGTTTACTAATACTCCTATTTAGATGGAATAAGAGTTAACCCTTCTAATTGTAAAAAAAATAGTCAAAATCATTGTTATTCCCAAACACTAAAACTGATCATAAGGGCTAAAATAAAACTTATTTAACGGGTTAATAATTTAGTCATTCGGATTATCAAATGGGCTAAGTACATTAATCATTCTCTTTAACCTCTCTTCATTAACCCTTTGCCAAACGGGGCATTAGGTTTTTATGTTGTGGGGGCTCAGAGAATTATGACTTTGCTTTTGGGGATTTTGGGAGCGTTGAAAAAGTCTTTGTGGGAGGCGGAATACTTCTAAAGAAGTTGGGGATTAGAAACAATTTTCCCTAAAAGAGAAAGGTAAATTAAGGTATGTACTACTTATCTCAACAATTTCATAAGACAAAAAGCGAAGGTTAGTTAGTTAATAATAAAATATAAAAATTACGAAAGAACCCCTTAATTAGATCTTATAGAAATAGGTGTATGCAATAAATTTATTCAAAAAATATGCCTCTATTCGGTTTCATGTTTAGTTGACAATGAAACCAAGGAAAAATAATTATATGAGATGGATGTTCTACAATCACTTCTTTTCTTTTGTTTGGCCGAGAAACAAAAAGAAGAGGAAAAAAAAGTACACGTGAGAGCTGCTTTTATAAATATAAACAGTGCAGTGGGTCCCAAAAACAAGGAAACCCATTTCCGGATAAATAAACCGGAAATGATTTTTTCCCAAGATTATATTATAAATTTAAAATAATAAAAAAACCGCCAACGGGCTCGGAAGAATTTTTTTGGGTCCCGGGTCCCGCTTCTCATGGATTATTCCTAGAGTTAAATTTCTGGGAAAGGAAGCAGCGGGCTCTTATCCAACATCTTCAAGAGTGAAGGATGAAATTATACGACGACGTTCCAACCTTCAAGAGTAAATTTTTGCTCTGAGGAGGCGTCTAGAGATCATGAGTGATGGTCCCTGCCTTTAAAACACAGCGATGCTCAGACCAATAATCTGGAAACCTCTACAAGTTGCCGGTATCAGTTGAAGAGTAACGAGGGGCTGCACAAAATAATAACCTTTCCTCTATTGTTTTTCTGCTCCCTTCAACAGGAATCAGGCTCCCAAGAGCTCAAGATGCCAATCAATACAAAGTACGTTCGCACCATGTGAGGAATATGGGTATCTCCTGAAATCAATAACCAATTTAGGTCCTAAGTAACAAGGTTGACCCAATTCATATCCGCTCATTTCTTACGAGGAGACCATTTTCAAGTAGGGACCATTAAAATGAGTGGACTCCAATGAGCCACCTCACTGCTGAGGACCGAACTTATCCTTGGTACCAAGGTTACTCATTTTCTCAAACTATTTGCTTACCCAAGTTAAGTATGTGTCAGCAATATTAGACACAGAAGCACGTAACATCCATCAATAAGGCTCCAAGTCCACACGAAGGAAAAGAAGAACATAAGAACATCAAATTGGCTCATATGTGAAAAATCATAAGAATGTACCTTTATTCTGCAGCCAGAAAACTCAAAAATCCAAACACAATTGTTTATCAATTGCATACACATACAGAGAACATATTAACTGCTTAAAGAAGTAAATAAAAAGGAAAAAAACACCTAAGAAAATTGAAAATTTTGAAGGGGTTACACTCGTGTCCCTGTGCTTTTAGACGTCTTGCATCTTCCCCCAAAGCAAGTTGTATGTGAATTTAGGTATCCTTTGAGTTTCACCGTTGGTTGGGTAGGGCACATCAATCATAGTCCATCTCTGCCAAATAAACAATAAGGGATATTTTAGGAAGAAAAAGAATAAAACTGGACCTTGTCCACCGAATAAGAGAAGGAGGGGGGAGAGGGAAGGGAGGGGGGGGTGAGTTAAACTAGATAAAAATAATGAAAAGGGCGTTATTCATCACAATTTTTTTTGCTTGTCATAGATGCAACTATTGAAAATTTTCCAAATTGGGTGCCACACAACATATTGTGTAACTACGGTGTGAAAACATTGAGCAAGTTTGAGGTCTGCAATATTAGGATAAATTACTTCAAAAATAGTACGTAAAAGATTAGTGCGTGTATAGAAGAATGTCTAAACTCACATTTAGGTTTGGCTGCTGATTGTTGAGCTCACATTGCTTTCAGGGTTATAAACACCATGATTCAACCCTCCATTCTGTCCTGAAGATTCCTCTTCTGGTGCATTTTCTGAATAAACCCTTCTAACCTCCTTTTTCAGTGTTTCATACTTCTCTTTCAAATCTTCTTGGGAGTTCAAGGCCTTTGCTATACTATTCTTGATTTGTTCATTCGTTTCCAAAAGTTTTCTCCTAGTTTCTGGATCAGGCGAATCTCCTGCCTTCTCCACCTCCAATTTCAGAGTCTCTATTTTGCTCTTCAGGTCACTTGATTCTGCGGCCTCCTTTATTCTTTCTTTAATCTCACTACTAAGTTCATCAGCTCTTTTTTTTAACTCTGCACACAATGGTTTAGAGGCTACAAGTTGTACATCCAAATTCATAGACTTCAGTGTCTTGGTCAATTCAGATGCTATCTCCTCCTTCGCCTTCAGAATTTTCTCCTTCAAGCCATCATCCAACTCAGAAGCTTCTGAAACTCCTGCATTTGCAATTTCTTCCTTCAGCATGTCCACCTTCTGTTTCAAGTCAGAGCGATTCATGACCACCTTCAATCCTTCATTTAGTTCCTGCTTCAAACGTACTACTTTCTGGGCTTTGGATAATTCCTTTAGCATATTAAGCTTATAATTTAAGTTTCCTGAATTGGGATAATCTGCTAGACCCTGTTCAAACTCCTGCTTTAGTTTCTCAATCCTGTCCTTCAAGCCAGAATCCATGGGTTGTTCTGGAGAACTTCTTGCTTTTGTAATCTCATTCCTGAGCATGTCGAGCTTATTCGTCAAGCCCATGAATTCAGCAGCCTCAGTAAGCTCCTGGTCAACCTCTTCTTTTAGTTTGACAACCAAGTCATTCACACCCACATTTATAGGCTCAGACGAGCGGTTTCCTCTGGATTTTTGTATCTGGTCTTTCAGTTTTTCAACTTCTTGCTCTAAGTCAAGAGTCGATATCTCTGTAATACTTTCTATGTCGATGACTGGTTCCTCTTTCTTCTTCATATTTACTTTCTTTATTGGGTCTATCGGTTGCCCTTCTATGAACCCTCCAATGTTGCGGAATTTGAGCATACGATGATTCAACAGCGTTGGTGTGTCCATCTCTAGGAGTTCCTGTACAAGAAATGTCTTAAAGTTAATAAATAAATAATATTATGTAGTATGCATAGAATAATACAGCTGATCCATACATTCATTGCTCCGACAACTGCAAGTTTTATCTGTTGTGATGTCCAAGATGAATCGGCATGTGCACCACCAAGAGGTTCCTGTCAAATAATAGCACAGCAACAAACACCGGAAGGTTATAAAGATCTCCTTCAAAACATATTCTATGTTTTATTAACCAATTCACTAGCATAGGATAATTTTCAATTGAAAATTATACGATCTGGAGACCTTAAGTGAAAAAGTGAATAGGAAACAGGGGCCTCGACTTGTCAAAAACTTATATGACAATGAACTGCCTTTCTAGTTCATACTAGCTCTTTAATTAAATACTAGTTTAGCCAAAGCACAAGTAAGCAGGTTGGTGATGAATTTCTGCAGGGCACACGATTCAATCAGCAGTCTCCTTTCAACCAAACACAGCAGTCAAATATACACCATGATGTCATCCTATGTTACATGGGTACTTCTAATATGGAGCCATACCTGACACGTGTCATACCCGTACATGTACCCGACACTTCTTGGACAATCCTCTCATACATGCATATATTTATTCAGCCTATACTCAATTATACAATGCATGTTTAATTTAAAACACTATACAATATTTGGATATATATCCTACACTTCACATCCATTTTTGTAACTTGTTGGATAATGGTCGAGTTCATTTCAACCTTAAGAGCTACTATTTAAAAGGGTTGTTTACGTATAGCTCAGAATTATCATTATATGATATATCCCATGAGTTTCAGCCGTGTTTTTGTACCTACCAGTGTTGTCAATGCGCGAGACGCAATGCGGGGCGCAAAGCATCTTTACGCGCACATGGGCAAGGCACAACGTGATGTGCGCGCCCGTGTGATGCGAGACGCACACCGCACACACAATTTTTCAAGATATATAACCAAGCACGAAAGAATATGTTTAGGAATTCACATAAAAAATATATCAGGATAAATAATATCTTTCTACAAATTCACAATATAAGGTCTTAATTTCTACAGCTAACACCCAACATAGCAGCAAAATTTATAAATTTTCAAATCAAATGTCAACTCAAACTAATATCTAAGAAAAGGATAGTTATGGTCCTCAATTGAAGACCTCTAAAGAGGCCTAATGGATTTATTTTGCTTTTTGGGATGTGGATTATCGAGTATAAAGACTCGACTGAAATGTTAACAAATAAAACTATATGAAAGTATGTACTACATGCACCCTGTGCAAAGTCAGGATGTATGCGAGGCACAAAAGGCGCCGCCGCATCAGATGTAGTGCGCTTCGCCACCGCCCTGCATCGCAAGGCGCATGAGACGCATTGAGGCGCGCGCCTTTGAAAACACTGGTACCTACCTTTTACAATTTTGTTGTGTGTCATACCCGCACCCGCATCCGTACCCGTGCAACTTAGATGCCATCCCTTGCATCATGTCTCCAAATCCAGGAAAACTTTCTATTTTAAATCTGGTGAAAATCGCCTATTTTTCACAATGCAATTCAGCTCCGTAGAAAACAGATCTCAGTATGAGCTAGACTTTGGCTCATAATCTCAGGAGTTGGAACATAATGCAATGCACTTGACAGGTGAGCGGAGTTCATTAGTTTATTTCACATGTCTTGTTATGATTTAGTTTTAGATTGTTTTCCGTCACTAATAACTTAATATTTATTGAGATCACATGAAAAGCTAGTATATTAAATTGAAAGAATAAGAGGAAGTGATGTAGTATTACAGGAATGATGCCATCTGCAATTTTCAACTTGCATAACTCTGTGGCAGTTATCCTTAGCTTCTCAGCTGCCTGCCAAGTTTTAAAATACAAAAATTAAAGGTGATATAGTATATATTAGGTGTAGATAAATACAGATGTTCAATAAATGGCTACCTTTGGAGAAGCTTTTGCAGTTTTCCACAATATTGCTGCACATGCTTCCGGGCTGTTCACAAAAATTGCAAAGTAAGAGCCCATTGTAGATCAAGGTGGAGAGTAGGCTTGGATTTCAAATAGGCAAAATGTCATTGGGAAGATGACAAGGAAAGCTATATCGAATTTAAAACCCAAACTATCCACGAAAAGACAGAAGAAGTCTAGTATGAATTATTAAAGTTATGCTAGTAAGGATTAAAATGATTCATGTGGTATTATAAAATTTGATTTAATGCCAGGTATCTGTTGGATTCAGTAAACGTATCAAACCCTTAATTACAAACAAAGAAAGCAAATAATCATGCAAACAAGAAGATCTTACATGGTATTGATATTTGTCTGTGTCTGTGGGAGATAGTGAAGTGGTATCGTTACTTGAAAAGGGATTGTAATATTTCCTTTCACTTTTGGATTATTTCGCAAGAATTTCTCAAGCGCTTAATTCTTCTTTTAATTTTCTTCTTTTTGTTTTCAATGAAAATCTTTAGGGATATTTAAACACATTTTCCTCCTGGTTTGAGTATCTGTAACCTGTTGGACTCCATCTCATATCCTAATCCTCTTTTACTTGTAATTGATCCAGCTCCAATCATAACTTGTATTACTACCAAAGTCAACATTCAATCTAAGTCAAATCAATACTCTTACTCCAATTCTATGAATGCAAGACATAATTAATAGCGTCGTCATTGAGCTAAATACTATCAAATTAAAGGCCCAGAACTAGTGTCATTTAATAAATTGTTTGTTAGCATCAAATCTGCGTTGATGTATAGATGGAAGAAGTTGCACAATAATTTGAAGTATATCAACCACTGCGTATGAGGCAGAGGAGCTCAGTCAAGGGTGAAATGGAAAATTATCACTTATGTGTATGGAAAGGATGAACTTTAAGGGAGAATAGATTGCAAGAAAAAACACACCCTTGTTGTGACCATAATTGAGAAAAACCCGTTACATAGCCCGTTTTGTAACTTAACGGTGCCCTCTTGTTATGTAACACACTCATTTAATGCTGAAACTATTTAACCCCAAAAAAACACATTATATTGCGTTAAATGTGTGTTACGTTATATAACCAGTAAACATGGAGTTTTTTAGGTTAAATTGCATCTCTAATTAGGACGCATGGATGCATCTCCACCATCCAAATCATTTAAACCCTACCCCTTTTAGTCTTGATCACCCTATTCTCTTCTTGCGAATATGCGACCTCTTCGCCTCCAATCCAAACATTTTAACTCCTTGCCTCCTCTGGAACTCCACTGGCTATTAGCGGCTTCTACGACTCCGGTGTGATAAATTTTTTATTTTTCAGTCATGTATTGGATATCTTATTGGATATCTGAGGTTATATCCTTTAAATAAATAGTGATTTTAAAATTATCTTTTAAATTTTAATATTTTCTATTGTCAATTTACCCCAAATCATATCAAACTTGTTGTTCCATTATTTTACCATTCAACATAATTTTTTAAAATCTACCACAAAATTAGAGTACAGTGATTAATTAGTGGGTTAATTGTGTTGGTGAGATAATTACTTTCAGTTATTTTTTGATGTTGAGTTGATTAGGTTTTAGTTTTTAGCTTTCAGTTAATACTAAATTTTGTGAAATTAAGTTTGCACACAATCTTTGTATATAATTTCTTGTTATTGTTACATAGTCATGTTTTCAGCTTGGTTGATTTAGTGAACTTGATTAGGAATTAGAATATTTTTGTAAGTTAAGAACTTGAGAGTTGGAAGTGTTTTATTTATTTTAGACTTATTTTTATTCCCTTAAACTTGACAATGTTAATGTATTTGATCATTTGATGATGCTTTTTGGGATGGTTTCTAGTCATATATGACTAACTTTTGTTAAGAATCTATGATACTATATTTTCATGTTTGATAATTGTGACTATTATGTTTGAAAAGTTTGATGATTCTAAGTATTAAAGTTATTATGAATTGTTAGTATTTATAAAATATCTAAACAATTAATAAACAATATAACATACGCTATGCGTTACATTTTTTTATGTTATTTTCCCTTAACCATTAATAGGAGGTCAAGCGTTACATAACCCATTTTCTTTATTTTCAACATTGGTTGTGACATGCATCCTTGCAAAGATGAAGAGGCAAATAACAGGCAAATCCACATCTTAGTTGACCTACCCTTGAGTTCATCAGCTCATTCAATGCAGTGCAACACACAATCACATAAATTTAAGGTTACAGAACTTGGGTGAGGCCACATATGGTACATGCAATAAGAAATGGTATATTGTGGATAAAGAACTTGGTGACGAAACCCCATACAGTATATCTGTATATGTGACAAAAAAACAGCATGTAAACCACATATCGTAGAAATATTGAAGGTGTCACATCCGCAGTGCATCCGTAGGAGATTGGAGGTTTCTCTATTATGGATAAAATGAGAAAAATCATTTGAGAAGGTTTAGTCATGTACAATGGACACTAGTAAATTCACCAGCAAGGAGAAGTGATAAGATTATAGTTAATAAAGCAAAGAGCTAATCCCAAGAGAACAACTTCATTGAAAACAATTGAAGATGACATGGTAATAATTAATTTAATTGGGAGATGACACTTACAGAATTGAATGAAATATTAAGATTCATGAAGTTGAACCAAAAATTTAGGATAAAAGGTTTTCGTTGTTCTTGTCTAAAATCAATATCTAGTAATAAGAAAGGTTAAGAGGCATGAAACCAAAATGACAGAAAATAAAAACTATGGTATAGTACAATGTTAACAGGTTCTAGCACACTAGCCCTAACTAAATTAATAAAATCCTACGAGTTTTGGGTGGCTGTAGTGATTGTATGTTGTATAACCTAAGAGATGAGCACTTCAAACTTGAGGTATATACAATAGGTAGGCCTTGATTTATGTAAATAAGTCACCCAGTCAAGTATTGTGCTGTTTAACAAATTTAGAGAGTGAAAATCTAGCAGCAGTTTGAGAACACATGAGTAATGAGAAATGAGATAATTGATATAGTTGTTTGTAAAGTCACCTGGCAACATAAAAAACAGCATTTTCCAACATTAGTAACTTATTAGCACATCCAATTGCGAGTGCACCTCCAGATCCACCTTCTCCAATAACAACCGTAACAATAGGAACTTTCAGACCAAACATAGTCCTCAAATTGAAGGCAATGGCCTCACCCTGCAAGAACGAAAATTGTACATTAGCACAAAATTAAAAAAAAACAATGGCATACAGTTGCAACTAATCTGACACGGGCACATATGATCTGATAAAGAAGAAAATACACCTGACCAAGCTCCTCCGACTTGAGGTCTGCATAAGCACCAGGTGTATCAATAAAAGTGATGATTGGCAACCCATGATGGTCAGCATAATACATCATACGCAAAGCTTTCCGGTAACTGGTTAATCATACGAATGATAGATTGGTTAGATCCCTAGAAAACAAATTAAACAATGAATAAATTATATAGCATCAGAACCAAGCCATATCTTTCTTCATTCCTTTCTGTAAGGGATATTACTCATCAAAAGCAATTAAATTACATCCGCTCAGTATGGGCACTAGCATCATGTGAAATCAGATACATTCAGATTCCAATGATATGGCCAAATTACATACCCATGAGGAGTAGGCATACCAAAGTTGCGCTTAATGTTCTCCTTTGTGTTTCTACCTTTCTGGTGACCGATAAACATATAAGTTCTTCCCTCTATGCTTCCAATACCGGTCACAATGGCAGGATCATCATATCCAGCACGATCTCCATGGAGCTCTACAAACTGTATACAGAAAACATAAACTAAAGCATCAAGACAACATCAATACTTAAAATGTAAATTCGACTGCAGTGCAATGTACAAATGATGAACTTTTGTTGATCCCCAAACCTTTTCAGTTATGTTGAACACATGGTCCAGAAAAGTTGGCCTGTTGGGATGGCGAGCAATGCTCACACGCTGTATAGGAGTGAGATGGGTATAGAGATCCTTTAAAGCCTGCAAAATCAACAATCCCGAAGCCAAATTTTACGTAAATGGGAAGATTTAGCAGCAAAACTAAAGTTAAATTATCACTTCCAGAACCCCAAAGGCAGTGGAAATACCAACCAGCTGCAAACTAGAAGACCGGCTATTTTCTTAAAAAAGAAAGCATCCTAATACAAAAAAAAAAGTGAGCTTTGAATTTTCAAAAAAATAAAAATAAAAAATTACCTGCTCATACTTAGACTCAAGAGATAAGATCTGATCTGTGAAGTCTAGTCCAGTTTCAGCAGCCATCTTTTGTACCTACAAACGATGAGACCAAAAGTAAGCTATCTTTTCAAGTTCGTGGGTAAGATCAAAAGCTCAAAAAAGAATAATTCCTAGCATAATAAGTAACAAAAAGAAAAAAGAAAAATTTCACTCACATCCATGATCTTCTTCTCGAGATCCATGAGAGGCTTCTCGAAGGGCAAAGTAACAGGCTTAGGCTTCTCCTTGAGAGGCTTAAACTCCGACAAGTAGCTAAGGATCCCTCCCTTGACATTGGGATCGGGCTCGATCTCGTCAGGCCACGGGTACTCGTGCTTCACCTTCCCCTTCTTCACGATCTTGGCCATCACATTCACCCCCCTCCTCCTCCTCCTCAAATCAACGCTGACCGCTCCCGATCTCCCCAAAATCCTAAGGGGGACCCCGATCACTCCACTGCTCGAGCTCCGCAGGAGATCCGAGGCCGAAGCCCCGGAGCCGGAGGAGAGCGCCGCAAGCGAAGACATCTGGGGGGTGGGGGAGAGCAATCGAGCTTCGATCTGCGGGGGGGCTAAAAAAAACCCTAGAGATGGGGATCTAATGAATAGAGAGAAAGAGCGGCATTGGAGAAATCGAAGACCCGAAGCTTTTTGCTACGTTCGGTTCCTCAGAGGAAATTAATTAATTAACGAGTTAAAAAATGGGGCTCGATTTCGATACTTCTTATGTTGAAGCGGCAGGTGGCCTGCACTCTTGAATATTCTGGGTTTTGGCCGTTGGCGGTTTCTGTCAATTTCCCAAATTAGTCACTTGAATCACGTGAAATTCCGTAAAATTGTGCATTATTTTTGACTTTGAAGATAGTAGCGTTATATATATATATAGCCTGATTGGTAACTCATTTTGATTCGGAAAATTTCTTACTAAAGATTTTAACTTTTTGGGTCCTAAGCACGCTGCATGCAGTTTAAAAAGTAATGCTATGAGAAGGAATAAGGACCGAGCAAGAAATGATATTAGGCGAGAGGTTAATTCTTAGTAAGTTTAACAAAATATTGCTGAGAGTTGAGAAGAAATGTTTAAGAGCATCTCCAAGGGGCCGGAAAAATCCGGCCCCTTAGCTAAATTAAGGGAGATATAAGGGAGATGTGATCCAAGGGACCGTAAAAAAACCCCCTTCACCCCATGTCCCTTAACTTCCTCACCAAATTAAGGGGAAGGTTAAAGTCCCTTAACATTAATATTTAATTATTTATTCATTTATAAATAAACCACATATTTAATTAAATCCTAATCTATAAAATTTAAAAACTAAATATAATTAATTAAAGGGTAGGGAACTTTTAAGGGGGAACCATTGGAGAAAAACCAACCCCTCCCTTAAAGTTCCCCCTAGATTAAGGGACATCCAAGGAATCCCTTGGAGATGCTCTAAATGAGATGACTAATTTTCAAAGAACTTATTTGATCCTAGGAGCTTAAAAGTAAGTTTTACGACTTTTAGGATCCATTCCAAATTGTACGTAATGTTGGGGGAGGGCCGTGAAAAAGGCCCCAATTTATTTTACCAATTTGGGCCATGCACTTGTTATAATTAACCGGGTGCAGTGGGTGTGAGGCCCAAGTCGTGGGAACTCTAACAAAGATCAGGCCCAAACTCATCTGTTAAAAAAGAGGCCCAAGTCACGTTTTTTCGCGGATAAGGTTGCGGTTCATGGACACTAGGCAAAGCATTGAAATTACGTTTGAACAACCCACTGTACGTACAGACTATAGAAAGCCCAACAACAGAATAATTGCTGACTGACGAAACTTTGGAGGCAAAGCTAAGGCTTAATTTTGTTATCTGAGCTAGAGAATTATATACGTGTATATATATATATATATATACATCCACAGAAGAGAGATGTTCCCTCGCATGTGCTTCAACTTTGACAGGCTTCTTCATAGGTAATTAAGCGTTTATATATAAATATACATATATATATATATATACTAAAGATATGGTGTTTAATTTCTAAATTTCCTATTATAATTAAACTTCACGCATTAATTTTTTATTAATTTTGCGGGTAGCGCAATCTCTGCAGGAAGAAGAAGGATGATCGTGGGGCCATCACTGCTAAAGTTGACGGCCGAGATTTGCACTGCCACTCCGTTATCTGCAACAGGAATCAAAGGATGAGCCCTGACGGATTCACGCTCCGAGCTCATAAAAGAGACAGGTCGCCGCGACTCATCGATATATCTTACTAATTTAACTGTTTACTACACCTGACACATGCACTAGTACTAAAACTTCAAAGTCAGAACCATAAACTATAATACAAATCTGAAAAATTGAATTAAAGTGATAAATTAAAAAAGCAGAGATCCAAATTATATATCATGTTGAATGCTTAATGTTTTTTTTCCCGTTCTCCGAAAATAATCCGATGCAGATCTGAGAGGCTTTTCAAGTTATATGATTAAGTCAATTTACAAGTCAACTCATAGGCCAGATCCTAAACATATTAGTAGATTTTAGTAAGTTCTTTCCAAACTTATCAGAATAGGGATCAAATTGTTCAAACTGTTCTTTAAATATATATATACTTTTTAAAAAATATATATTAATTAGACATGTTTTCTGTTAGCTGAAATCTTTTTTTTTTCTTTCTCCCCGAGAAAAAGGATGAGGGGTTCCAAAAAAACTCCCCAGCTTGCCATGCCTACATTGCCCAAATTAAGAAGGTTTTGCTACAAACTGAACCAATTACTAAACCCTAAATTAATAATCCAAAGAAGAGCTAGCTAGCATAGATAGCTACATCACAACCTCATTCTACTACTTTGTGAAGAAACATGACATGCGCGCGCTCCACCCGGGCCACAAATTGTGAACTGTACTTGGTTTCTCAGAAGTATGTAAATTATGTAATAGACAATTCCAAGCAGCTAGCAACAACAAACCTACAGTGTAAGAACAAAGGACATGACTCTCTAAGTACTCATTGTCACACTCAGAACGCATTTATCTTCTCGCACAATATATATATTTTTTCCTGAGCCTATCTTTAGTATTAAGGATGCATGTGCGTGCGTGTGTGTGTTTCTTAATTATCCTCTTTTTTTTTCTTTCTCTTTTTCGGCAATTAACCAGTTTAGAATCTTAACTTTCAAAGGCACAGGAACTAACCAAATATTGCACTAGAATAATCTGATGATATGCACTTAACTGAGAACAGTACCCTTTTACTCTCAAAATACCAGCTAAATATACCATGCCTAATTAACAAATCAATTTATTGCAACACTAGCTAACTGGCCCTGCAATTGTCTACAAAAGCTCATATACCAAACATTAACCCAACCATCAGAACATCTACTTTTCATATCACACACGTACAATGACTTTGGTTTTTTCAGCGAGAGCAAACAGAGATGGGAAAGTTGAAGTTGATGTGAAATTAATCCCCAGACCATTTATCATGCTAAAAGTAAAAAAAAAAAAACTTTCCGTTAACAACCTTGACTATATAGAACATGTCAAAATTAAAGCTAGGAGTCTCAATTAAGTAAAACATCACCCCAAAATTTATCTTTAATTTCCCCCTAACTGATGTCCGATGGTAATCACGAATCGATACACTAAGTTTTTACATAACACGTCAGAATGATAAATTCTTTGAGTTCCTATTCTATTTTCCAAATTAGGGATGTTGTGGCTTTATCCCAAAATTTATCTTTAATTTCCTTGCATTCTCTCTGCAGTGTGTTTTAGAAGTACACCTACTTCTTCACGTTAATGAAATTAGCTTCTCCCTTTCTCACACGCAAAAGATTCTAATTATCTCATACAAATTATGTTGCCATATATACCTTATCTAAGATCTCAGATATGGAAAATAAATATTATATATATATATATATATATGTCATCGTATTAGTTTTGTGATTATTACTTTTACAATATTTCTAATTTACAATTTTATTTGTAGAGTGAAAACACTATACAACTAATAAGATCATAATACTACAATAATATATAAAATACTTTAAATTTATAATATTATTATATATAGAGTGAAAACAATATACAACTATATATATGTTAAGATCATAATACTGCTATTTTACATAACTGTAACAAAAAATGTTGTAACGCCCGAGTCCCGGACTCCATTAATGTATTATCCCGTGCTAATTAATAATATAATCGATCAAGAAGATCGATATATAAGTATTATTTTAGATTAATTTCTCAGAGAAAGATATATGTAGCATTTAAAGAACATAGCCTCAAGCAGTTGGGACTTAAACTTGAATCTTACTTTTAAAAACAGCGAAGGAAAACTTAATAAACACACAATCAATAGCATAGACCCGGCCACCTACTCTCTTCTTCCTGCACTTTAATTAATTAATATGTTAAAAATCTAATTTGGAAAATAGAATAGAAACTCGAAGAATATTGCTTGCAATTAACTTTAACATGCATAATAGGATCTGTTGTTTAGAAATAGGGCAATAAAGAAAACGATCTCTTGTTTAGAAATATATAGGGCAATAAAGAAAATGATCTGATCGTGATCTTAATTAAAGGAGTCACTAGGTAGTCCGATGAAGATAATGAAGTTAAATTTATTCGCCTACACTTTCCAAAATCATGGTACCTTCCCAAGCTCTTTATTTATTTATTTTTTTAATTAAATTGAATGATATGATGTGAGGGAGCATATATAGATTTTTCACATGCAAAGTGTAAGCAGTTTTAAAGCTGATACATTAATTAAAAATAATACTAATAATAATAACTTAAACCGTGAAAATGGTCCCGGTACAGTTCCGACAGTAAACAGCAGCAACCAGCTTGCATTGCAATTTGCAAAGCACAAAGACCTCTGCATTGATGGCTCTATTTATTTATTTACACCTTATATCTGTGGAAGCAACCGAAAGTGGGCCCAATAAAAAATCCAACCCTCCTCTCACTCACGTGTCTCCGGCCAATCAACACAATTAAAAAAATAAAAATAAAAATAAAAATAAAAATAACGCTGTGGTCGTTTACTCTCTTCCTCCTGCTTGATCATCAGCAGCAGCAGGAACGAAGAGATCAAAGAGAGGAAGCGAGAGATGGCGAACAAGAGTCGCCAAGCAGTCTCAGATCTCATCCACCGCGGCCTTCGGTCCTGCCTCAGCCCACCACCTCCCCCGGCGATCCCTTCACGGCCAACCATTTCGGGCGACGACGACGACGACCGCCTTCTGTCGTCGGAGCTCGGAGATCCGAACCCGACGGCTACAGATCGAGGAACAGGAGAGAGAATCTATTGGAACCCTGACCAGCAGATGGGGGAGAGAAGAGGGCTGAAGTCGTAGAGGGCTGGGGTGAAGGAGATGGAAACCCAATGAACAAGTGTTGGAGGCGGTGTCCGGCGTGAAGAAGGCGTAGTGTAGCTGCAGGAGGGCGATGCCCCTGGACCCCGAGCAAGAGAGGGTGGCCGCATGGGGGGTTGCGGGAGCGGAGGAGGATGGGAGGATGAGGGAACAGGTTAGGTCAGGAGAGGCTGGCGGCGTGGAGCGGCGGCGTGCGGGCCGTTGAGGGAGTGGTTTGCGCCTTACGAGTGGCGCTGGAGAGCTGAGACGGAGGCGTGAACGGCGAGGAGGTGGAGGTCGAGGCGTTGAAGGATGAAGCTTGGGCGTGAGGAGGCGAGCTGCAGCAGAGGGGGCCTGGATCAAGAAGGGTCCAGGGTCACTATACGGCAAGAGGTCGGATGCAAGCGGGTTAGGTGAGCGTTTTTGTTGGTTTTTTTTTTTTTTTGTAATACGCCCTTGGCATTTAGTATATTTGCTTTAGTGCCTCATGCCCGGTAGAAGGAATCTTTGACTGTGTTTACACTCACATATATAGTAGCATTTCCACGTGGACCACCTATATTTTACTAACCTTATTTTTATTGCTTTAATCTAATCTCCGTATTTAAAAACCTTTTTCAGAACAACCATATTTCCCACATTTCATATTTTCTTTTTTTTTAGGGAAGTTACTTAATAAATTGCAGCGCTAGCATGCATTACGTACAAATGTTATGACAAAATGATCAAATTCCTCTTAAGTGGTCATTTTCTTAGTCAAATGTATCTTATGTGGTCATTTTCTTAGTCAAATGTTTAACTGATAGATGTCGTAAGAGTGTTTTCCCCCCATTTCTTATACTTTCTGCAATCGGGAAAAAAAAATCAAATTTCAAAAAAAAAAATTTGTCAAGGGAAAAGGCGACAAAGCTAATAAAAAAATATGAAGAAATGGATAAAAAACACTGTCACATCATTACTATATTAAATATTTAACTGTGAGCTCACAAAATGACTATATTGGAAACGTACTCATAGTTCAAGTGGAAAATATAGGCTAATGGGTATTTTAGGAGGGAAGCCGCGAGTTTACAAAAATTTTAAGGATGAATTTGTTATTTTGTCCTAAATGGTATAATTATTTCATATGAAAAGAGACAAGCATCTTCGAAATATAAATACACAAAACTCCTTGTTATAAGTTACGGAGAAGAATGTTACGTATGTGTTATAGTGTTATACTACTAAAGTAGCATTGCATTTGTAAGTAGTTTATATTTGTTTAGAATATATATTCACCTTTCATATAATTATTCATGGTTTACGGTACGTAGTGTACTTCTATGACAATTAAACTAAAACATAATCACATATGTAATTAAAGAATGGTGACGGCCGGTAACTTATTTTGTGCATCAAAAGGGGCTTATCTCACTCAAAAAAAATCATACATTCATATCAAAATATTATATTATTTCTCATTGCGTAGCTCTTTCAAAATTGGATTTCCATTGTCCAGGGGACATTAGATTAAACATATATATATTATATATATATATATATATAGTATATAATAGAGAGAGAGACGATGGAGAGATGAGGCCAGCGGGTAAAGTCGAGAGAAGTGAGGAGAGAGAGCAGAAATATGGGTATGCTGTGTACCAAATGTTGGTTGTGAGGTGGCCACAATCCCCTCCACTCATTTAAATGGGGATCATATCACTACAAAGTCACACTTTTTTGTGCTTAGGTACCAAGCTATACCCATTGTTTTCTCATATATATATACTATACTACTATAACTATATGTATATATAATATTATATAGAGAGAGAGAGTGTGTGCTGAAACACAGGGCCCACTCACCTCATCTCTGTCTTATATCTCTCTTTTTTAACCATTGTCCTTATAGTTATCAAGACCCTTCAAATTTTAGCTAATTTTCTAGTGAGAAAAAGGACTACAATATTAATAAGCGGAAATTTTGAATCAAAAAATGAGATGCCCCAAAAAAATCATTTTGAAGGATAAGCATATTAAAGAACATTAATGATAGGGGTTGCATATGGTCCGGATATGTCTCAGATATAATACTTACCATAATTCATATTTGCACACGAATCACGAATAAGGATACATATGCAAATATAACTCAGTAAGAAATTTTGATATCCATATCCGCTAAAACTGGAATGGATTATACGGGTATGCATGTGGATATACATGCATATATAAAAGAAATATGAAAAAACTAGATAATATTGAAAAATATAGTTCATATGATACACATTAATATGTTTGTTATATTTAAAAAGCTAAAGTTAGATATCTTAATCATCAAAATTAACCTCAAATCAATAAATCTAAGGATTAAAACTGTTGCAATTGTGTGTCCAATATATATCCAGATAATTTGAATGCAGGTTTGAATATTTCATTAGATAATCATATTCTATGTTATAAGTTTTAGTAAGCCACATACGAATACAGACATTTCCTAATTTTTGTGCGTGCCTAATTAATGAGCATGAGCATGTATGATTCAGGAGAAAGTAGCCGGTGGTGACGGCTCATGATATTAAATGTGCATCCAAAGGACCTTAAACATTAGATCCGAACATGTATCTCGAAATCTAATGATCTAATAGTTAAAACATCATTTGGATGCATATTTGGTACTATGAATCCGGATGTATTTGATACTTTTTTGTGATGTAGATATACAACAATTCCCTTTCATCAAACATGAATATTTCAGCACGAAATAAATTTCTGTCATACTTAGATCTCCTTAATTTGACTCACAGGCACACCGTTGGCAGCGCCAACGCCGGAGCTATTCGAAATATGCATGGAAGAAGTAAAATCAGCCTCCAAATCCTTCACTGCCCACCTCCTCTCCCTAATGCGCGCCGCCCACTGGGACATCTCCGCCGCTGCCCGCTCCATCATCGAGCACGCCTCCTCCTCTGACCCCGCCGACACCTCTGACCACCACCTGACCATCCCCCACGTCCCCCACGTCAACCCGACCCATGCCAAGCACGCCCTCGAGTCCTACGTCACCCGCAAGATCTTCCACGGCTTCGAGAATGAGACCTTCTACATCGATGGCTCCCTCTCCTCCCTCCTCCACCCCTCCGAGTTCCGCAGTGACTGCTTCTCCCAGTTCCGTGACATGCGCCACATGGACCCAGCCGAGGTCCTCGGCATCCTCCCCAGTTGCCACTTTGGCAAGTTCGCTGCCAAGAAGTACCTCTCCATGGTGCACCCCAAGATGGAGGAGTCACTATTCGGCAGCACCGAGCAGAGGCGGCAAGTGATGGATGGGGCCCACCCGAGGACGGGGTTCTACGGGGAGTACCTGAGGATGGCGAAGGCCGTGTGGCTGCTGCATCTGTTGGCGTTTGCAATGAAGCCTTCGCCGAGTCATTTTGAGGCGAGTAAGGGAGCGGAGTTTCACCCAGAGTATATGGAGAGTGTGGTGAGGCTGGCGGGGGGGGGGGGGCGGGTGCAGAGTGGGTGGGTGGTTGGGTTCTCGGTTGGGCCTGGGTTTAAGCTCGGAAATGGGTCGGTGGTCAGGGCCAGAGTGTATTTGGTGCCTAGAGTCAGAGACCTCATTTGATTTACGTGTTTGTGTGTGGGTCTTTGTGTGTGTGTGTGTGTTTGTTTTTGAAGTTTTGATTGTGAGTCGCAAAGCTATGCGAGTGATATTGGATGTGCTTGCGTCTGTAGTTTAGTCTATGGTATGTATTGTGTGTGTTAAGTCTACTTAATCTAATATGATTAGTATGTTTTTTTTCTGAAAATATATGATTAGTATGTTTTGGTACATCACGGTGCGTGGTATCTGCATGCAGTGCTTAATTATTCCAATTTGTCATAAAAATGGTTAATTGCCACCCAAATCTCCCCTATGGACTTGAGATCTGATGTAGGATGTTTAACGAACAATTTTATGGAGAATTTGGACAATCACGAGCTAAATATAGATTTATACATATTATTGACTTACTAAAAAAAACAGTAATATCTTTCAATTCGGAAGGCGAATTCTAACGTATTAAATATGTAAATCGCCTATCTCGACTAGACAGAGCTAACCAGAATGTCAGATTTTTAAAATTTCATCAGCAATAAGCCATTTTGGCTAAAATTTAAAAATAATTAGCTTTTAGTTTATTTTAGTAATAAAGTTAGAGTCTGTTATAGTGTTCCCATTCGCCAAAGTACAACTCATTGCCAAGTAACAAACATGTGTACTTATGCATGCAATGCCCCAATAAAGTTGGCGGTCAAAGACCAACGAGGAGTCCGACTTAGCCAACTCGTCGAGTTGACATTCCTTAATGTCGACTCGAACGGCGGTGTCAGTCGACCCTCTTGTTGAAGACGAATCGCCATAAGCCCACTTGACCAGATACTTGACGCCTCACGAAGACGACTCGAAAGGTGTTACTTCTCGGCGAAGTTAAAGGACGACTTCTGCCTCGAGTCTTTCCTACTGGCGATGTGTCAACATCGCATTTAATGCATGAGAGGCGCATCATGCCTCTGGCCCTGATAGCTTTCATGACTCATTGGACCACGTAGGCACCGTCATGCTGTCAATCACTTCTCGTTTAATACTGAAGTGATCCTTCCCCCACTCGTCAGCCGACACCTGTAAAGTAGATGTTGACTCAGCTGCCAGCCTACACTTCATCACTGTCATCTTGTGCTCGGTTGAAGTGACCAATCTATCCTTATACCCCCGGTATAAATACGTGTACTATTCGAACATAACAGAGGACTTCTGGGATCTTGATTTCTGTATCTTTTTATCTTATCTGATCTTTAAGTAGAGACACTGTACACCCACAAGAACTCACACAGTTCTTTATTTTTCCACACTCAAGTTCATTAGCTGACTTGACCGTCAGAGGAACCACGAGGGATCCAAGCCCCATCCTCTCATTAATTCCTACATGTGCAGGCTTTTCAGCAACCCAACTCAAGAGCCGGACATAAAGTGGGGGAAGAAAGTCGCCCCTCATCAATACTGTACAACCTCATCCAACCACGGATACCACTGACTGTGTGACCATTTAACATCAACAGAGTCTATTTAGATTAGGAAATAAATTTAATATTAGAGCCAAATTAGATAAGGAAACAAATTCAATTTTGATTCATGATTTGTTTTCTCTATTATAGGGAGTCTTTTTTAGGATAGGATTTGATACTTTTTATTTCTTTGTAATTATAGTCTTATTAAGAGTCTTGTTTGTTTTTCTATTTAAAAAGAGTCATGTAACTCCAAAGAATAATAACTTTTCATCAATAAAATTTCTCTTTTAATATTTTCTTCATGGATTCAAAGTTCTTTGTGAATTTGGAGATCATACTCTGTGGATTCAGAGAATACCCCTTGGTGGATTTCGAGGTTATCACTTCTGGATTGTGTTAATTAATATCGGAGCTTTGTTTTTTGATCCGATGACAAGTGATGATGCCCCTATTTCTCGAGCTAAGTTCGATGAGTTAAAGACTGATGTTAATCAAATGAAGACTGTCATAGAGTGACTTGCAACGACAGTTGAGCGTCTGAATATGGTAGGAGTTCAAAATTACGTTGATGGTCGCCAGCAACGTGATCCAACTCCACATGATGAATTTAACAGTGATGACTATGAAGCCCCACGCCGCGATTATGATCGCAGAGACCACCAATGATGGGACAATTATGATACTAGAGGATTAAAAATACCATTCTTCAATGGAAAATTTCATGCTGATGATTTTCTTGATTGGATTGGTGAAGCGGATAAGTATTTTGAGTATGAGATAATCCCAGAAGATTGAAAAGTTAAATTAGTGGTTTACAGGCTTCAAGAAAAAGCATCTGCATAGTGGGATGAAGTGCTGATAAATCGATATCATCAAGGGAAGGATCCGATTCAAACATGGGCAAAGATGAAGAATTATTGAGAGACGGTTTCTTGCCTTCTAACTACAAGCAATGTCGGGTGTCTTTAAAAGATTCCTTTACCTTAGCCAACACGATCTGTCTAGCGAAGAAGGTGGAGAGAGAACTTGGATAAAACGATGAAAGACCTTCATCATGAATATTTTTAGAGAGTTATCAAACTAGTTATGATTATGACAAAACTAAGAAACCTTAATTCATCTCTAAGGAAGAGTCTGGATTTGTGAAGAGAATAGAAGAAGTAATAACAAAGACTTCATCAGTTATGTTAATCATAGAACAAGAGACATTTAAGACAGAGATCGCTAAGGAGAAGATTACTCTAATAGCAGACAACGAGCCACTCACCCCCAAAAAGGAAGATTCTGCCGCCATCAAGTTTCATCCCGAGGTTCCTAATGTTGATGGTGATATGTTAATGACGACATAAATTCTTCATAATATTGTGAGTAGTGATGTTACACATATTGATATTGTCCCAATGGAGGAGAATGATAAATTAGAGAGTGAGGCAATTGATGATACTGTGACTTATTTGGTGGAGGGCGTAAGGCAAATGAGATGAAAGAATTATGTATGAAATAAGGGGAAGAATTTTCTTCTCTAGAAGCAAAGATTATGAATAATTTCAAGAAGATTTTGATGATACTTCTAGCACTAGGGCTTGAGAAGCAACATAAAATATATTTTGTGGAGTTTTTCAAGTTAACTGCATATCCACATGCCCGTCAATCACATAAATATGGCGTGAGAAAGATTTATTCAAAATTTTGATTCAGAAGAAACCTTAGCGGAAGAGGCAAAAGAACAAATAGAGAAAATCAATGCTAAGTATAAGGCGGACGCTGATCGATGCAGAAGAAGAAAATTATTTATCAATAAAACTATTATTCTAAAAAATATAAACTCAGGGTCGAGCTTCTTTCAACAATGGGAGACTGATGTAGGACGCTTAACGGACAATTTTATGAAGAATTCAAAAAATCATGATTTAAATACAAATTTATACGTATTATTGAGTTACTCAAAGAAACAAGGGAAAAATGTGTCAAGGCTCCAAAAGCAAAATCTTCATGTGCTTCAGCCCCTTTAACTTTTTCTCATATGGTTCAGCCCTTAAATCGAGATCTATATTCTGCAGCCCTCTTTTAGCAATTATTACCTGTGAACTAAGAATAGATAAATAATAAAATGTAAAAACCCCAAAATATCCTTATCTCCTCTATTTTTTTCATGTTAAGTTTAAAAGCAAGTTGAATTAGACTTAACATGAACTGAATTAGACTAACATGAACCGAATTAGACTTAACATGAAAGTCTATTTCATGTTAAGCCTAATTCGGTTATGTTAAGTCTAATTTTATTCCTTTTAAGTCTAATTTAAATCATGTTATGTCTAATTCAACTTGTTTCAAATGTTAAGTCTAATTTTATTCCTTTTAAGTCTAATTTAAATCATGTTATGTCTAATTCAACTTGTTTCAAGTCTAATTTAATTCATGTTGAGTCTAATTCAATTTTTTTTAAGTCTAATTTCATGTTAAGTCTAATTTAATTCATATTAAGTCTAATTTAATTCCTTTTAGGTCTAATTTAAATCATATTATGTCTAATTCAACTTGCTTTAGGTCTAATTTAATTGGACTTAACATGAAATTAGACTTAAAAAGAATTAAAGTAGACTTAACATGAACCGAATAAATCTAATTTAATTCCTTTTAAGTCTAATTTTAATTCAATTAAGTATTAAGTCCAATTTAGTTCATGTTAAGTCCAGTTTAGTTCATGTTAAGTCCAGTTTGATTCGTGTTAAATCCAGTTTGGTTCGTGTTATGTCTATTTTAGATTATTTTAAGTCTAATTTAAATTGTTTTAAGTCTAATTTAAATCTTGTTAAGTCTAATTTAAATCATTTTAAGTTTAATTTAATTCATGTTAAGTCTAATTCACTTGTTTTAAGTCTAATGTTAAGTCTAATTCAACTTGTTTTGAGTCTAATTTCATGTTAAGTCTAATATAATTCATATTAAGTTTAATTTAATTCCTTTTAAGTCTAATTTAAATCATGTTATGTCTAATTCAACTTGTTTCAAGTCTAATTTAATTCATGTTGAGTCTAATTCAATTTTTTTTAAGTCTAATTTCATGTTAAGTCTAATTTAATTCATATTAAGTCTAATTTAATTTTTTTACGTCTAATTTAAATTATGTTATGTCTAATTCAACTTATTTTGGACTTAACATAAATTTAGACTTAAAAGGAATTAAATTAGACTTAACATGAACTGAATAAATCTAATTTAATTCCTTTTAAGTCTAATTTTAATCTAATTTAGTGCTAAGTCCAGTTTAGTTCATGTTAAGTCCAGTTTAAATTATTTTAAGTCTAATTTAAAAAAATTTAAGTCTAATTTAATTCATTTTAAGTCTAATTTAAATCATGTTATGTTTAATTCAATTTATTTTAAGTCTAAAAATAAGTTGAATTAGACTTAACATGAATCATGTGTTAGACCCTAGAGGGGGATGATTAGGGTCTTATGCTAATCTAATTCCGATTAAATTCTAATTAAAATTATATTGATTAATTTGTTCTTGCAAGAAAGATATAAGATAGATATGAGCAAAAATGATATGAATAAGCACAAATAAAATGTACGCTAAGCAAAACTCAAACAAACGATATGTTTACGAGGTTCGGTCACTATGGCCTACGTCCCTGCTCCTCGCCTCGAGGAGATCTCCATTATCACAATCCGGTTTGGAAGCCGGAACTTCTACACACTCGGTTTACAAGCTTACCGAAAACTCTCACACAACCAATACTATGCAATCACACTTTGCACACTAAGTATAGGAACCTA